TTGGCACAGGAATTATCCCCTTGGGCAGCTTGAAAAGTGCAATATAGGTGTACATTTTCATTATTGTCTCTTAGTGACTTTAAACTAGCATATGAGTCCCCATATGTTTATGTGTGAATTTGTTAAGGTCTTACTTCTACATTACTGTGGTTCCAAGAGTGTTTTATATGGGAAATTCATCCAATGTTATATCATCCATATATAACATCATATATAGCACAATTAAGAAGGAATACAAGTTTTTTTTAAGTAAAAACATTCCCGATTCTCCTAGCCCCCAACCTTAAGGATTTATAAAAAATTTCTTATGTCCCCAATCATTAGCCTAGTAAACTGCATAACAAAATCATGAGGTTAAAATATAATTTTAAGTTATTTGTGACATTTAATAAATAATGTTTTAAAATATGAATGATTTTTTCATCATTGCTTTATTTAACCTACTTGTTTTATTAAATAGTTTGTAGTAGAACCATTCCATATAGAGTCATTACATCTAGATAAAGTATTTTCAGTAGAACCATTCAATATAGAGTCATTACATCTAGATGAGGTATTTCCAATAGAATCATTCCATATAGAGTCATTACATCTAGATAAAGTATTTCCAATAGAATCATTCCATATAGAGTCATTACATCTAGATGAAGTATTTCCAATAGAATCATTCCATATAGAGTCATTACATCTAGATGAAGTATTTCCAATAGAACCATTCCATATAGAGTCATTACATCTAGATGAAGTATTTCCAATAGAACCATTCCATATAGAGTCATTACATCTAGATAAAGTATTTCCAATAGAATCATTCAATATAGAGTCATTACATCTAGATGAAGTATTTCCAATAGAATCATTCCATATAGAGTCATTACATCTAGATGAAGTATTTCCAATAGAACCATTCCATATAGAGTCATTACATCTAGATGAAGTATTTCCAATAGAATCTTTCCATATAGTCATTACATCTAGATGAATTATTTCCAATAGAATCATTCCATATAGAGTCATTACATCTAGATGAAGTATTTCCAACAGAATCATTCCATATAGAGTCATTACTTCTAGATGAAGTATTTCCAATAGAATTATTCCATATAGAGTCATTACATCCAGATGAAGTATTTCCAATAGAACCATTCCATATAGAGTCATTACATCTAGATGAAGTATTTCCAATAGAACCATTCCATATAGAGTCATTACATCTAGATGAAGTATTTCCAATAGAATCATTCCATAGAGAGTCATTACATCTAGATGAAGTATTTCTAATAGAACCATTCCATATAGAGTCATTACATCTAGATGAAGTATTTCCAACAGAATCATTCCATATAGAGTCATTACATCTAGATGAAGTATTTCCAATAGAATTATTCCATATAGAGTCATTACATCCAGATGAAGTATTTCCAATAGAACCATTCCATATAGAGTCATTACATCTAGATGAAGTATTTCCAATAGAACCGTTCCATATAGAGTCATTACATCTAGATGAAGTATTTCCAATAGAATCATTCCATAGAGAGTCATTACATCTAGATGAAGTATTTCTAATAGAACCATTCCATATAGAGTCATTACATCTAGATGAAGTATTTCCAACAGAATCATTCCATATAGAGTCATTACATCTAGATGAAGTATTTCCAATAGAATTATTCCATATAGAGTCATTATATCTAGATGAAGTATTTCCAATAGAATCTTTCCATATAGAGTCATTACATCTAGATGAAGTATTTCCAATAGAATCATTCCATATGGAGTCATTACATCTAGATGAAGTATTTCCAATAGAATCATTCCATATAGTCATTACATCTAGATGAAGTATTTCCAATAGAATTATTCCATATAGAGTCATTACATCTAGATGAAGTATTTCCAATAGAACCATTCCATATAGAGTCATTACATCTAGATGAAGTATTTCCAATAGAACCATTCCATTTAGAGTCATTACATCTAGATGAAGTATTTCCAATAGAATCATTCCATATAGAGTCATTACATCTAGATGAAGTATTTCCAATAGAATCATTCCATATAGAGTCATTACATCTAGATGAAGTATTTCCAATAGAACGATTCCATATAGAGTCATTATATCTAGATGAAATATTTCCAATAGAACCATTCCATATAGAGTCATTATATCTAGATGAAGTATTTCCAATAGAAACATTTCATATAGAGTCATTATATCTAGATAAAGTATTTCCAATAGAATCATTCCATATAGAGTCATTACATCTAGATGAAGTATTTCCAATAGAATCATTCCATATTTTCCAATAGAATCATTCCATATAGAGTCATTACATCCAGATGAAGTATTTTCAGTAGAACCATTCCATATAGAGTCATTACATCTAGATGAAGTATTTCCAATAGAATCATTCCATATAGAGTCATTACATCTAGATAAAGTATTTCCAATAGAATCATTCCATATAGAGTCATTACATCTAGATGAAGTATTTCCAATAGAACCATTCCATATAGTCATTACATCTAGATGAAGTATTTCCAATAGAATCATTCCATATAGAGTCATTACATACAGATGAAGTATTTTCAGTAGAACCATTCCATATAAAGTCGTTACATCTAGATGAAGTATTTCCAATAGAATCATTCCATAGAGAGTCATTACATATAGATGAAGTATTTCCAATAGAATCATTCCATATAGAGTCATTACATCCAGATGAAGTATTTTCAGTAGGACCATTCCATATAGAGTCATTATATCTAGATGAAATATTTCCAATAGAACCATTCCATATAGAGTCATTACATCTAGATGAAGTATTTCCAATAGAACCATTCCATATAGAGTCATTACATCTAGATGAAGTATTTCCAATAGAATCATTCCATATAGAGTCATTACATCTAGATGAAGTATTTTTAGTAGAACCATTCCATATAGTCATTACATCTAGGTGAAGTATTTCCAATAGAATCATTCCATATAGAGTCATTACATCTAGATGTAGAATTTCCAATAGAACCATTCCATATAGAGTCATTACATTCTAGATAAAGTATTTTCAGTAGAACCATTCCAGAGAGAGTCATTACATCTAGATGAAGTATCTCCAATAGAACCAGTCCATATAGAGTAATTACATCTAGATGAAGTATTTCCACTAGAACCATTCCATGTAGAGTAATTACATCTAGATGAAGTATTTCCAATAGAACCATTCCATATAGAGTCATTACATCCAGATGAAGTATTTTCAGTAAAACCATTCCATATAGAGTCATTACATCTAGATGAAATATTTCCAATAGAACCATTCCATATAGAGTCATTACATCTAGACGAAGTATTTCCAATAGAACCATTCCATATAGTCATTACATCTAGATGAAGTATTTCCAATAGAATCATTCCATATAGAGTCATTACATCTAGATGAAATATTTCCAATAGAACCATTCCATATAGAGTCATTACATCTAGATGAAGTATTTTCAGTAGAACCATTCCATAAAGTCATTACATCTAGATGAAGTATTTCCAATAGAACCATTCCATATAGAGTAATTACATCTAGATGTAGAATTTCCAATAGAACCATTCCATATAGAACCATTACATCTAGATGAAGTATTTCCAATAGAACCATTCCATATAGAGTAATTACATCTAGATGTAGAATTTCCAATAGAACCATTCCATACAGTCATTACATCTAAATGTAGAATTTCCAATAGAACCATTCTATAAAGAGTCATTACATCTAGATGAAGTATTTCCAATAGAACCAGTCCATATAAAGTAATTACATCTAGATGAAGTATTTCCAATAGAACCATTCTTTACATTCCATATAGAGTCATTACATCTAGAATAAGTATTTCCAATAAATTGGCATTACACATACTTTTCTTTCAGAGCTAGATCTTGGTGTGGAACTAGAAGTGGAACAAAAGTCAACCATGCAGCTAACATTCTTGAAAATTTCATAACTTATTTCACCATTTTAAAGTATATGAATAAGCAGTAAATACACACCTAAAATGGTTTCATGATGTATTAATACGTAAAAAGAACAGTAAAAAAACTGGTGTGAGCCTGCAAAGCAACAACAAAACACATGCAAAAAAATATGAACATTTTAAAATATCAACCTTTCTAAATATAACAAACAAGTTTTATCCGAACAGCATTTATGGCACCCAGCAAAGCATAAGATTGTGTTATTCAATCAGATATAATAATCAGACAGTTTAATCTGATTCATTTTACTCATTTCAAAATGCAAGTAGTCATTCTGTTTTACACTGATTTACAAAGATGGAACATGGTGGTGTACCTGACATTTTATAATGTCCTAATTGTACTGTATCCTTTCAGATATTAAATTTGAAATTAGTATAAATTATGATTTTGAAGATTTAATAAGACAGTGTATTTCATCTCATAAGAGATAAACTATTAAAGATAAAATTGTACATGTATATTTATATCCTTTAAAAATACTGCTTTTATCTTACTTTAGAACTAGAAGCACTGATAAATGATGAATTTTAATTCTATCAAGAATACAAATTGTTGCTTTGCAAATGTGACTTAAAAAAGATAAATTCATTATATAGCATTTTCTTATAGAACATGGACCACAAATTGTGCCAAGAAAAGTTCAAATAATTCAAATTATTTTTATACATAACAATAAACTTGAAGGGAAAAATTGTTTGAAAACCTCTCCAAAAGGTTTTCTTTATGTTGCATTTCTTTTTTTTCCTAATGACTAGTCAGCTGAAATTATATTTACAAACCCTACACATATTTCTGAAATCTTGTTGGTGTAAAAACAATTTCAAGAACCAAAATTAATTAAAAAAACTGCCATTATCTTAATGACTTAAAATCAATTTATGACATAACAATTTCTAAGGACAATTCCATTAAAAGCATTATAAAATGTGATCATTGAAAGGAAAATATTTACCATGTATCTTCTATTGACTGTTAACCACTCTGGTGGCCTAGTGGTTAGAGCATCTGCTTCGAATGCGGGAGGTCGTGGGTTCAGTCCCCGGTTGAGTCATACCAAAGACTTACAAAAATGGTACTAACAGCTGCCTCATTTGGTGCTCAGACTTAAGAGGTTAGTGTTAGGACTGGTGGGCCTGGTGTTAGGATAATTTGACTGGGTGGGACATCATGCTACATGTCTGCATCATGATGCCCCAGTGCTAGACATCACTGTAAACTGCCACACTGCAGACATTGTAGCGATATGACTGAAAAATTTTTAAAGCTACATTAAAAATCAAAATCACATCACATCTATTGACTGTCTCTTTATTTATACATTTTGAAAGTGCTGAATCTAATTCAGAAGACATTTTAGTTGATGTAGATTGTAGAAAATATAGTCCTTGGACCATAATCTGGCCAGCAAAATGGTTATGTTTATCTTGCCTACTTTTGATATCTTGTTCCAGGATCTTGTTCCAATATAATGGAAAAAGTAGGCCAATTTTATAAACAGTCATGTAAATGAAAATTGTAATGTGGCCCCTCAAATGAAATCAGGGCTCAACATGAAATAATTGAATTATACAAAACTTTTAGGTACAAACCTTTCAGTGAACTTTCTCATTTGCAAGAGCCATTGTTACAAACCTTTGTGCTCTTTCACCTTCTTTTCATTAAAATGCCATAAATCGGACCAAATTCCTTTGTCAGCTGATTATAGTGATCATTCTCACTTTTTCTTGGTGTTGAAACAGCCAAAAGACCATCAGCCACATATTGCTCAACAAGCTCCTGAATGACACATGTCCAATTAAAACTAACCAAGGCATCATATCCCAAATCTTTTAAATAACTTTCAATTTCATATACGTATTAAGGTTGCGCTCTACAGTTTCGTATTGTGCACAGAGTTAGGTTTTCAAGATAGCTGTTAAACATCTTGCGCTTTTTTTTATATCCAAGACACACAATCTCAAGCTATTTTTCAACACAGCTTGAAACAATTTATTTAATGTGATAATCTTAATTTCCAATGCATCTTAAATTTCTCAGTAGGAATCGGTCACAATTAATAGTTCTCATTCTATTTTTAGAGCATTTTTCTGTTTCTTTTTTTTGTGGTGATATAAGAGTTAGATTTAGGCATTCTTGGTATGGATTTAAAGGCAATTGTTTATGCTTGAGAATATGAGCTTCTGGTGTGGTTATCTGCATGTTTTTGGTGAGAGTGCACTGTGAGTAATAGGGTCTTCTTGATAATCTGAAAGTGACATCTGTGTTCCATTGCATGCTACTTATTTTACAGCCTCTTAAAGAAATGCCAGTAAACCTATGACAAGAACTTTATTGTGAAGTCATTTTTGAAGGTACTTTAGATTAACATATGATTTGTATTGATTGTCACAGTGGAAAGTTCAGTAGGGAGAAACAAATGTAAAGAATACATAGCAGAATTGTGTTCTTGGTCCCACAGGTAGAGGCCATTAGGAATCAGGTCACAATTAGTACTTCCAGTTCAGCACAAATGAATGTAGTTCCAGTCTATTTATAGAGCATTTTTTACTGTCTTTAGGTGGTGATAAAAGTTATATTTATGCATTTTTGGAAGTGAAATCTCTGTTCCATGACATGTTGCTTTATTTACAGCCCAGCCTCTCAAAAAAAGTCAGTGAACCTATGATAACAACTTCATCATGAAGTCATCTTTGAAGATATTTTAGATTAACATATAATTTGTATTAATTGTCACACAGTGCAATGTTCAAGTTCAGTGCTGATAAACAAATGTAGAGAATATATAGTCAAATTAATTGTGTTCTGAGTCCTGTCAGAGCAGTATTGATTAAACGTTTTAATTGTTATAACATGTTTATTATTAATGATAGACACGTGAAAGTTTTCACATATTGTTTATATATAATGTACAAATTAGAAAATATTCTATAAATTTAAAACATTTAATAAAAAAAATTAATTTAAAAATATTATTTAAAAATCCCCCTCATAAATTCACAGAAATGGTATCTGTTGGAGATGACACTCATTATTATTAGCAGCAATGTATTCCTACACCATATTCAAGTTGCAATGGAGGATTCTTTCCAAAGCTTGCCATTGAAAATATTTTTATATTCTGTGCCAGCAAATAATAGTGATTGTAGAATATGGATGGGAAATGTAACATCCAATAGGTTATATGGCCTATTGTCATATAGGGATCCTGAGACAAACAGATGGAAAAAAAAGCATGTCCACAGACTGGCATTCATGGTAAAGTTGAGAAGTCTACATATTCACTAGGAGCTGGATGCATTTCTTTTATGCTACAACAGTTTGTGTGTGAATATTGATCACCGGATTCTAGAACCTGGTTCCATTTACAATAGGCAGTGCTTCCAGTGTTATGGGCATTGCATTGGGCATGGTGACTTTCCAGACTGCATGATTTTGAAATTGTAACATTGAATAATACAGGTATCATGATATGACCTATACACCCATCCATATCTACATCAAATTATGTCTGGCATGCATGGATGGATGGATGATTGTGTTGAGTAAGAAGGAGAAAAGAAAGAGTGTGGTCTTTATTTTGCTAGACCATGCTGGTATGATAGTGCTGTATTAAATATATTCCTTCTTTCCTTCTATTCATTCATTCAATCAGTTAGTAAGTCATTTCATGTTACTTTATTTTAAAATTTTTTAAAGATTTATTTATGTTACTTTTTAGTTTCTTTATTTGTGTCTTCTTATTCAGAGAAAACTGTTTTGACCATCAGGTGGTAGTAACACAACTGCTTATAACAGCATTGTGTTACCAATGGATTTCCTCAAATAGTTTTCCCTTTTGTCCAACTTATACTCTGGTGACTTATAAATGCAGTTTTACATGTCATAGTATGCTTTCAAGTAAGTCCCCATTTTCCTTCATTTGCAATTTGGAACTGTCACATATGCTGACTTGATTACCATGGCGATGAACGATATCAGAATCATTTCAACATTTCTTTTCATACAGATCATACATGTCCCATCATGCTCATTCAGTTCTGTCTATTTCAGGTCCTGTTTTGCTTTGGATGATAGTCATAGAATTTTTGCAGACCCAGGTGTGCCATTACAGTCTGGTGCCTGAACTGACTGGAGACCCCCCATATGTTGGCTTTGTCACTGCTATGAGAGAGAACTTGTCTGCATCAATTATTCTGGTCACTGGAACAGATGCAGCACTGGAAGTTGGTAGAGTATCATCACTCAGATATCTTTGTTATGTGGAATATTTCCAGGTTTTAAAAATGTTGCCTTCTTCTTGTATCCTTTCATGGTTTCAGTTACAATAACTGCATGCAAAATACAAGTATCCCCCTCTCACTTATATCACCAAGAAAAGGCATGCTACTGGTACCTTGGTTTCAGAGAACTACACCAACTCTTCAATACATTATTTAGATGCTACCAGATTTCAGGTGTTACCTTTTATTGACTGGCCCTGGTTTAATTGTTTCACACCTGCTAAGGAAATCCACTGATGTTCATGATAAAGGAATGGCAAAACTTTGCCACAGAATAAAATTTGTCAACTTCAATTTTTAAATTTTCATTAACATTTAAGTTAAATTTAAATTTTCATATATCATCTTTTAAAATTGAATTTTCTAGGAAAGCTTAACAAATTTAATTTCTAGTACCTTCAAGATTGGTGTTATGACTAAAAAACTAATTACAGTTTATTTGAAGTGTTTATCTTGATTATCAAAACCACAATTTAACTTGAAATTTTGTTCTTTTTTGACAGTCGGCCATTTGAAATTGGCTTGTGTTATAGTCATAGATCAAATTCCTTGAAACTTTGCAGCTTTATTTAAAAGGCATTGATTTTAGCACATTCAGGTGAAAATTTCTATCCCTGTCAGGAGTCGGGTCACAGTTAGTACTTCCAGTTCAATACACACGAATGTTGTTCTAGTCTATTTTTAGAGCATTTTTTTTCTCTCATTTTGGTTGTAATAGATTTAAATTTATGCATTTTTGGTAGGGATTTAAAGGTAATTGTTTATTTTTGAAAATATGAGGTTATGGTGTAGTTGTCTGTGTATTTTGGCAACAGTGCACTGAGTAATAAGGTCTTGGTGATAACCAGTAAGTGAAATCTGTTTTCCATTGCATGTTACTTTGTTCACAGTCCAGCCTCTCAAAGAAATGCTGGAGACAACACTTCAATGTAAAGTAATCTTTTAAGGTATTTTAAATTAATGTATGTTTTGTATTGATTTTCAAACAGTGGAAAGTTCAGTACTGATAAACCAATGTAGAGAACATATACATGTAGTAAAATTAATTGTGTTCTGGGTCCATTAAAAAGGTGTGAGCCTAATCATGTGCTCGAAGCAAATTGGGAAGCCAGGGTACCAGGCTAGTCTATTTTTAGCGACATAGTCTGAAATCAGATGTATAGTGTTATAGATGCAACAATGTATGTTGTTTTGTAGCAACAAAGTGTGTTGTGTCAGATATATTATTTTGACATCCAAATGGCACAATCACTACCAAATGGATTTAAATGTTATTTGAAAATTATTCTTGTAATCGAGTGGGAAATTTGATAATGCCAATCGGAATACTGATTTTCCAATGGATAGCAGATGGCTGTATTGATGATGATATATTGACAGTGTCTTAAGTTAAATCCCTCTGGGGAAACTTTTATCTGCTCAAAGGAGGGAAATAAAGGTTGAAACAAATTAAGAGAAGTATTATGGTCATTATGAGTACTAAATTTAATGTGTCAAAGTAACTAGTCTACTTTGCTATGAATGCTTGAGATGAGATGAAAATAAAGACTTTTGTTTGTTTGGTCTTTAAACCTTTCACTAGAACAAAGCAGAACCACTGCTGCCAGAATGGCGGATCTCACCCCTATTTGGGAACACAATCAGGAAATTCATGACATGGTTTTCAAGAATATTACTAAATATGGATGAATTCAAAAGATGTTAACCTGAGCACTGTCCTAATGTAATTTCAGTACCACACTCTCCAGTGTGGAGGTATTGAAATTACGCT